GTTTCAGGACTTCAGGTTGCCGGCGGCCAGCGATGATGCAGAGCAGGTAGGCGCCCAGGTTTGCACAGGTTAGGCCGGCAAAGCCAAGGCACGTGTGGAGGTCACGACCCACGCTCAGGGACAGCCGTCCTTGACCAGTAGGGGTCATGTGCAAGGCCCAGGTCAGGTAGGCGCGCAAGCGTTCCGTTGTGGGCAGCTTTTGGCTGCCGCTGTGTTAGGTCAGGTAGGCGCCCAGGTCCCAAAGGCTCAGGTTTGCAAGGTTGATGCCACCGCAGGATGTCAGCCTGCGGTTCAGGGTTGCAAGCTGACGGTGCATGCCCGGGGGCCGCCGCCCTTGGCCAGCAGGGGCTGTGATCCAGAGCTTGCATGCCAGGTACAAGGCCCAGGTCAGGTAGAACAGGTTTGCACAGGTCAGGTCGGCAGCGCAACCGAGGTTTCAGGACGTCAGGTGCCCACAGTCCAACCATGTGTTGGTTCAGGACTGGTAGGCGCCCAGGTTTGCGCAGGTCAGGTCTGCCAGGATGAGGCATGCAATGCAGGGTCAGCCGGCCAAGGTCAAGAGGTGAGCATTGACTGTGATCCGGAGTTTGTGTGCCAGGGGCAAGGCCCAGGTCAGCTAGGTGCCCAGGTTTGCCCGAGCAATCCCCAGGTTTCAGGACTTCAGGTGCCCGCCGTTCATGCCAGCGAGGGTGCTGAACAGGTAGGCGCCCAGGTTAGCACAGGTCAGGTGTGCAAAGGTGAGGCACGCGTGGAGGTCACGACCCACGTCCGGGGACAGCCGTCCTCGGCCAGTAGGGGTCATGATCCAAAGCTAGTGTGCCAGGTGCAAGGCCCAGGTCAGGCAGGCGCCCACGCATTACATTGTCGGCAGCTCTTGGCCGCCGATGGCAGCGTGCCTGAGGTTTCGGGATCGCAGGTGCCCGCTGTTCAGGCAGGTGCAGGCTCGGAACAGGTAGGCGCCCAGGTTCACGCAGGTCGGGTTTGCCAGGATGAGGCATGTGTTGAGGTTGGTGCATGCAGTTGCCGGGACCGACCTCTTTTCAGCCATGAGTTTGCTTGCCTGACCCGTGTTGTGATGCAGGAGCCTCAGTGTCTTGATTGCAATGCAGGGGCAGCTGGCCAGGGTCAAGAGGTGAGCTCTGATTGCACAGGTGCCCTTCCCGATGATGCGGCCGATTTCTGCCAATTCCACTTTGATCACCACACTCCTTGCCGTCCTGTTGGTCAGGAGTGGTCGAAAGACCCGAGTATATCCAACGGGACTGGTTCCAATGACATTCACCGGCCCTGCCACTGCTGTCCCTTCCACTGTGTCAGCTCACTTCACTCAGCCTTTGGTGAAGCTGCAGGTCAGGTTTGGTCGAAAGACCCGAGTATTTCCGACAGCGGAGCCAATGGTTCAACTTCCACTTTGCCTCCCTGCCCCTCCCCTTGGGTTTTCTCCCGAACCTCGCGTTGGTTTCCCTTAGGCGCACCAGGTCTTGATCGGAGGCAGATGCATTCACTTTGCAAAGCCTGCGTGCCTTCAAGCCAGGTTGGCCAGGCTCCTGCCTATGAGGTGCAGGCCTGTAAGGTCAGGAGCATTTCAACTGCTGTCGCCTTTACCCTGTGTGAGGATGCTGAATTCTTCTACTTTCAGCAATGCAGTCAGACAGTCGAGGCTCCGACTGGCCGAGCGCACGCTTTCAGTTGCTTCTCCGGGTGTCTCCGCACCTGTGTCGAGTGCTGCAGCGCCCTTTGGAATGGGAGACCCTATGCTGGGGTCCGTGACGGCGAGGCAGCCCATCCCGGGCCCGATGGAAATGGTCTTGAAGCCATTCTTGGGCCAGGGCTGCTTGAAAGTGTCAAGACTGCGATCCAGAAATTGGTTGCGCAGGCAGTTCGGCAGTCTCTCGGACAGGCTGGCTTTCCGGCTGGCAATGCCAAGGCTAACAAGAGGAGAAAGCGAAAGGTCAAGAAGGCTGCCGCCAAAAAAGGTGGAGCTGGGGGCACCCAAGGCCAGGTCCCTCCGACCAGTGCAGAGCCTACCCCACCAGCTGCCAAAGACAAGGGCAAGGGCAAGGGAAAGGGGCAGGGCAAGGGCAAAGGTCAGGACAAAGCCCCGATTCCCCCATCTCAGCAGCCCGCCCCGCCTGTTGCTGCCAAGGCCGAGGAAGGCTGGCAAGTTGTTGGCAAAAAGGTGCACAAGCCCGAGGATTTTGCACTCCGACCCCAAGATTGGGGGAGCCAGTTCATCCTTTACGATGACTTCGCCTCTAAGTTTGAAGCGGCTGACGCCGCAAAGGTCTTCGAGGCTGTTGTACACTGTAGGGCCTCTGAGATTCCGGTGGCGCGTCGCATCCTGAATGCATCGGGCCGGCCTCACTCTGCCCTGCTTGTGGCGGTCGACTTATCAAAAAAGGAGCTTCAGGACCATGAGCTCGCGAAGGAGGCGGGTGTTCGGCAGTCCATTCCCGGACGCGTCGGGTCTTTTGTCCGATTCCGTGATGGTCTTGCTGTGCAATGCACATCGTCGGGATGCAAGCCTCCGCAGCCCAAAGGTTTGTGTGTCTCGAAGCGAGTCGAGAGCAAGGTCACAGGTGTTCTCTTTGTCAAGGTGCCTCAAGCCTTTGCTTCTCCTGATCGATGGCAGGCCTTCAGCAAGAGCCCCAAACTTGCCATTGCCACCTGGGCCACCAGCCATCATGTGCAGCTCACTGACTCATGGAATTGGGCTGAAGAGCAAGCGGCTAATGGGGCCAAGCAGGTCTTCGGAGTACTCAGGGCGCCCCTGAGCGACTTGCCCGCTCTCCTTGCCAAGTCCGGTGAAGCCGGAGTCTTTGTCTTGCCGCCTGCTGGACAACGGGAGAAGGTCGTCGTTGAGTGGGTTGACCGCCATCCCAAGGAGTCCGACAAGGACTACTATGCAAGGGCGAGCCGGGTGCAGACTTTAGGCCTCGCCGTGCACGGCAACAAACTTGGGTGGAAGAGGCCGATCACGGCTGAGACACGCTTTCCTCGTGTTTGGCAGCTCAATGGTTGCCCTAAGTCCTGGGACTTTGTGCAAGCCTCTGCCGTCGTTGAGGATCACTTCCAGGATGTCCGCATGATTCGTCAGCACACCCGTGGAGCTGACAAAGCCTTCTTGTTTAGGGGTGCGGCCAAGGCTGGCGCTGAATGTGATTTGTTGCCCATTGCCACTCAGGATGGCGATGGATCCCAGCTTATGTTGTGGGCCAGCCTGGCGCCTGCCAAAGCCGAGCAAGTCAAGCAGAAGCGCATCAAGACAGGTTCCTTGCCTTTTGTTACGCCCACTCCCGACATCTTCATGCCGGTTGTCCATAGCCTGCCTGTGCAAGCATGCCAGGAAGCCGCTGCTGCAGATGCACCCATGCAAGGTGATGCCTCACCTTCCGAGGAGACTCCTGCTACCAGGGACACGCCCAAGCCGGTTGCGGCCTCTAGCGACGCCGCTGCAAAGAGGCAGAAGGTCACAGTCCGCGAGGTGCCCAAGGGTTGTGCTCTGCAGGCGGCCGCCAAGGATGGCAACTGCATGTTTCATGCTGTTGGTGATGGATTGCGCTGGCTTAGGGAGCAGCCAAAGAAATTCCATCACCTCGACCTTCGCGCCCGTGTTGCCGAGCACCTTGCCAGGCACAAGGATGATTATGAGCCCGCTTGGTCTAGCGACGGCCGGCCCGGTCCTGATGGCACTGCCCTGCCTGACTGGGATGCCTTTGTTGCCCAGGTTGCCTTGCCTGGCAAGTACAGTGGCGAAGCTGAACTCAAGGCTTTGTGCAGGCTTTTCTCAATTCGGGTCATTGTTATCCCTGCTGACCCCAACTGGAAGGTCTGTTCCTATGGCAAGGCCAAGTGCAAGGATGTTGTAGCAATTTATTTTGCTGAAAAGCACTTGGACTTTGTGAAGCCTGAAGGCAGGTATACCAAGGACATCTCAGCTGTTGTTGCTGATCCCAATGGTGGGTTTCTGGTCGGTGGCGTCAGTGAGGCTTGCTCCGACTCTTCTTCTGAGAGCCCGGTTGGGGCTGGACTGTCACAGGCCCGCACCTCTGCCTCTGGCCTTACCAAGCCCGTTGGACCAGGCATGTCACAGGCACGCACCTGCACTGTGCGCACCGTGCCTACTCGCAAGCCTGCCTCGGTGCGGAAAAGTCACCTTAAGTCCTCTGCATGTGGTAGCCGGGCTGCTAAGCGCCAGCTTGACTCTCTTGTTGAAGAGTGCAGTGCCAAGCCCAGGCGGCACTCGGGACGCCCTTCGCTTGTGCAGTGGGTCCAAGCAGGCTATGCCAGGTGCAGTTTGTGCCCTTTCAGGTACAAGACCACAGACGCCAAGGTTGCCCAGGTGAAGCTTGCTGCACACTTTCGTACCCACCACAAGGGATGCAAGCCTGCAGGTTTGGGCGTGAACAATCGGACGCCGTCCCTGATCTGCGACCTGTCACCTGATCAGGCGGCGGAGTGGCGCTGTCCCTATTGCAGCAAAGGGATCAGCTTTGAGGCTGCCCGGGCGGCAGGACGAAAGCGAATTGCATCCAACAAAATGCAGCATAAAAGGGAGTTTCATCCGCGTGTTGCATGGCAGAAGTGGAGGGGTGCTGATTATGTTCGCAGGGCCGGCTGCGCCACCGAGACCCGCTTCCAGGGATTCGATCTGCTTTGTGCACAGACTCGACCGCACCTCCTTGCGAGCTTCCAATTCTTTAGGTGGCCTAACTGGATCGGCGCGGTTGGTGCCAAGCAGCAGGTCAACCCCATCAAGTTCTGCCCTTCCTGGGTCTGTAAAACGTGCCACGCCCCGTGCAGAAGCGTTGGAGATGCTGAGCAGCACCTTAAGGATAAGTGCGCCCGCAGGCCTTCGCCTGGACACCTCACATCCTTGGTGCGGAGGAGACTGCGTAACCTCGCTGCGGACAAGGCCCGCTTTGTGGCAAGCAGAGTTGCTGGGGAGCAGCGTGCCCGCGGCCTTGAGCTTTTTGCCACTGCCAAAGAGGTCTTTGAGCGGCTCCAGTCGCCGTGTTTCTAAGAGCCTTGTGCCTCAATGTTGCCAGGAAAGGGGTTAGCTGTGGAGCCGCCCTCCGCCCTTTGCTTGATGCCTGGCGCATTGATCTTGTTGCTCTGTCTGAGGCTGACGTGAGTCCTGCATCCGGGGCTGCCTGGGTCAGGGAGTGGAAAGCTGCTGGGTGGCATGCTTGCCTGAGTGCTCCTGCCGACAATGGGATCTCCAGAGTTGCTTTGCTTAGCAGGCTTCCTTTCAAGCCCGTCCAACTTTGCCAGCACGAGGGCCAAGGACGACAGGCTTCGGCCTTGATCGATGTGGCCACTACATCGGGCACTGAAACCCTCCTCTGCGTTGCCACCTACTTGCAAAGTGGGCAGAGGGCTGCTGCCGAGGCCCAGCTTCATGATGTCTTGGCGGAGGTGGACCACTCTGGTCGAAAGGCACTCATCTTTGGTGACTTTAACCTCGTCCAGCATGAGGGTCTTGTTGCTGAAGTTTTGCAGTGTGGCCTTGCCCTTGCTTGTGATGACGCGGCCCGGGGGGAGGAGTTGCCGTGCACAGGTCCCTTTGTTGATGGCAGCCGTCGACGCCGTATCGATTACGGCATTGCCCTGAATGGCCTGGTCTCCACTGAGGTCCTGCATGTTCCTGAGGGGGAGGTTGGCGCCCTCTCCGACCACCGTGCGGTGGTGTACCACTTCCATGCGGCCGCCCCCGAGATGCTGTCTGGTGCCCCCCGGCGCCGTATTCGCCTGCCTGAGCCGTGCCCAGAGGACTTTGTGTTTCCGGCTGAGGCCGAGGCCCGCTTTCATGAGCTCCTGCATCAGGGGATCGATGATGCCTGGACCTTTGCTTCTGACTGGGCCGAACAGCTCCTCTTCGAAGCGGCCAGGGAAGATCAGGTTCCCCGCAGCGAGCAGTGGAACCCCAGGCGTCCCAGGCGCCGTCGTGACAGCGATCGCGACCTTGACCAGTCGCCTGGCCTTCGAGCTTTGCGCCGTTTGCTCCGCAAGCTTCAGCTTTGCGTGTGCCGCCCGTGGGGCGCTCCCCTGCATCGGGCTTGTGCGATGACCTGCGCTACCACGCGCTCCCTTGTGCCAGAGCTTCCCAGGCTTGAGTGTGGCAGTGCCTTTGCCGTTCAGCAGGTTGAGAGCCTTGTGGCGGAGCTTGCCAGTGCCGAAAAGAAACTTCATCTTAGCAGATGGAAGGCCCGCATGCAGTTTGACATTGCCAAGGTGAGGGCGTACGTCAAGCGCAAAGCTGACGAGCAGCTCGCCTTCGAGACAGTGCCCCCCTCTGTTGAGGATATTGTGGGGAGTTGGCACCCAGGGGTTGCAGTGCATGAGCAGGCCAGCAAATGGACTGCAGCTTGGACCGTCAAGGGTCCTCCTGATCTGACACAGGTCGACCGGGTCCTTTCTTCGTTGCCTCGACCACCGGATGTGCCACTCTGCATCACGGTGAGTGCGGATGAGCTTCGGAGTGCCACCCTTGTCATGAAGCACAAGGCTGCCGGGGCCGACGACTGGCTGCCTTGTGACATTGCAGCATTGCCGCGTGCCTGGTTTAATTGGGCTGCCCAGATATGGGAACGCATTTTGACTTTGGGCCAGGTACCGTCCATCTGGCGGCGGGCCAGGGTTACCCTCATTTGGAAGAGCCGCCGAGGCACCCGCCCCATTACGCTGCTCAATGCCGTATGGAGGGCCGGGGCACGTGTGATCCAGGCCCAGCTCAAGCCGTGGGTCCAAAGTTGGTGCGATCATCGCACTGCTGGGGGTGTGGCCGGCACTTCTGTGCAACATGCGTTGATGCAGGTACGCCAGGCAATGGCTGATGAGGCTGGTTGTTTTGTCCAGTTGGACATTGCTTCGTTTTTCGATAGCATTCATTTGCGCATCCTTGAGCGTGCACTGCAGCACCTGCGGTTTCCACCGGCGGTGATGTCTGTTCTTCTTGACTTTTTTGCTGGGGCTGAACGTGTCTTCACCCTTTCTGGGGCCCACACTTCTCAATGGGCTGTCATTGATCGTGGTCTTGCACAGGGTTGCCCTTTGAGCCCGGTCCTTGCCTCAGCGCTGTCGCATCTGTGGGCTTCCTATGTCGCCAGTGATGGGCGTCTGGGTCAGGTCGGGGCTTTGGCCTACATCGATGATAGGACCTTGTGGCTGCGCAAGGGCCGCCCGGTCAGCTGCATGCGTGATGCCCTCCTCAGGTCTGCCGATTTCGACCGTGCCTTCTGTTTTTCGCTGTCCTTGGACAAGTGTGCTGTGATCCCTAGGACCCCGACCAGAGAGCACTCCGCTCTTGCTGAGGCCTTCGGCTTTAAGGAGGCTGCTGAACTGGAGGTGCTTGGGGTCCGTGCCCCTTTCAATGGTGACTGGACGCTCTTGAGGCTTCGAGTTCGCAAGGTTGCCTTGAGAGTCCGCCTTCTTGGGTGGGTCACTGCCAATCGTAAGATTCAAAAGCACTTGCTTCTTTCGTTGGTTGTGCCTCCTTTTGCGTGGGCGGCTGGTTTCGCCAGGCCGACTGCCAAGGATTTGACTGAGATCCGCTCGGAAATCACCCATGCCTTCCAGAAGTCCTTCTCGCGGGACTTTGCCAGGGTCTCCTTCTTCGAAGCCCTTGATTGGCAGCTCCATCCTGACTTTGCTTGCGACCTTGGTGCCCTCCGGGTGCTTTGGAAGGCCAGCGTCCAAGTTCCTGGATGGTTGGACTTCCTGCCGATCAGTCAAGCCCGCTTTAGGTGGCAGGTCCTCATCCCTGAGGCTCCAGGCGTGTTGCAGAGGCTCGGTTGGGTCATGGACTTTGCTGGCTCTGAGCTTCAACGCAGGGACCGTGCTGGCCGCCTTAGGGTTACTAGGCCCGGGTTTGATGGGTTCCAGGTTGTCTACCAGTGGCTCAGGCAGCATTACCGGCAGACCCTTGTTGCTCGGACCGGCCGGGTCAAGCACCGCTACCACCGTGATAACCCCAGCCGTGCTTCGGGTCTTGACCTCCCTGCTCCAGTTTTGAACGTTGATTACCACTTCGACGGCCTGCACGCTGCGCTGCAAATTGGCCTCCGCTCCACGGACCTTTCTGCTGTTGGAGGTGGTAACTCCTGTTGGTTCTTCAATGCCCATGGTGACTTTCCTGACGGCCATCCTCGGTGGCACTGCTTGTGTGGCCGGGCTCAGCCATCCCGGGTGCATTTGCTGTGGAGCTGTGAGTGCACGGAGCATTTGCGCACTTCCTTGCGTTTGCCGAAGGACAGATGTGAGGAAAGACTTCTCCTCCAGGGAGTTCCTGAGCAACCTCCGGCACCTCCAGCGATTGACCCGGGGGATTTCCATGACACTTTGGTGCAGGCGATCATTGAGCAGCTCCGACAGGACCCTGCAGTGCTTTACCTTGCAACGGATGGCTCCGAGCATCTCGACGTTGGCTCTTATGCTGTGGCAATCCATCCTGGTGGCTTCACCTGTGCCGCCGGCAATGGGGATGAGGACCAGTCCTCTTTCAAGCAAGAATTGCTGGGCTTCGACTGTGCGGCCAATGCGCTTGTCGATGCCGTTCGTGACACCGGGTGGACTGGGAGAGTTGTCTTCGCACTTGATTCTCAGTCTGCCTTGAGAGTGGTGTTGCGGCAGGGCCATCGCTTTTGCTTCTTGCTTGGCCTGGTGGCAAGGACGCAGGCTGCGCTGACACATCTCGCCACTTTGCAGGTGCAACTTACCTTCACGTGGGTTCCCTCGCACGGTAAGCGTCCCAAGTGGCAGCCACCAGCTGGCTTGTGTGCTGATCGCCTTCGTTGGCTCAATGACTGGGCTGATCAGGCTGCCGCTGACTGTCGCCGCCGACGTGGAGGTGGCCGAGGCCGGGAGGAGTGGTGGCGTCTGCGTGAGGCTGCCGGAGCCTGGGAACTCGGAGCTATGCAGGCACTTGCTGCCGCCGGCCAGCTGCTTCATGTTGAGCTTCGTCGTCATGGCCTTCGCCCCCGTGAGCGGCCCCTTCCGGTCGCTGCTGAGGATCCAGGAGGCTAGACCTTTCTCGTTGCTGACCACGCCTCCTATGGTCTTGTTAGCTGCCTTGCCTTTAAGGTTTAGACCTTTCCCGCCTGTTGGGGTTGTTTGCCCTCCTCCTTAGGGTTTAGACATCCCCTGCACCCGTGTTTTGCACACCTGCCTGAGCCTGCACTGCTGTCATCACTTTGGCATCGTGTGCCTTGCTGATTGCAGCCTTCTTGTTTCATGGTTGGTCGGATGCTGCCTTTGTCAGGGCTTGGCTCCCTCTTCAGGGTTCCGGCCTTTCCCCCTGCACACCCGTGTTGCCTGGGCTTGGCTGTTGACGGCCACGCTGCCTGTCGGCTTTCGTCAGCTGCCTTGACCCTTAGGCTTAGACCTCCTCGCCTGTTAGGGTTTGGTTTTTTCCCCCTTCCCCTAGGGTTTAGACCTCTCCCCTTGCACACCCGTGTTGTTTTGACTCAAGCCTGAGCCTCAAACACTCCTCACTGCGTGGACACGTCCGGCATGCTTTCTGTGCCTGTTGCATTCTGTCCCATGGCAGTTGGATGCACGTGCCCCTTGGGCCGCCTCTTTTACTGCCTGCAAAGGGGCACACCTCAGACCGCCTTGCACTCGTGCTGATGTGATCCCGTTTGCATCAACTTCGCCACTTGCTTCTACGTGCTCTGTATGATGAAGCAACTGATGCGAGCCTTCTGTGTGGCATGTTTTTCGTGCGGCTGCCTTCACTGTCCTGCCTGGACCGTTTGGCGACCAGCTGCTACACCCTACATGCTCTTCAACTTTGCCGAGCTCGCTGCTGCCGCCTGGTTGCCGCTGCTGCTACGCTGTGCGGCTCTGGGCTGTGGCGAGCTGTAGTGTACTGAGACTGGACTGCGTTGTCTACTGAGGTTGGGCTCCGCGTCTCACGAGGGTTTTGTAGACAGTTTTTACCCTGACCTGGGCTTCACGGTTTGGATGACTGTTCATCCACTTTTCACGAGAGAGGATAGTTGCCAGCAGTCGGACTCCTCAGCTACCTGCGGCATGCCTCCATTAGGGTTTTGATGACGCTCGCTTGTGCTCTCATGCACTCCGGGTAGTTTTCATGTAGGTGCCAGCTTGTTGATTTACTCTGCTTGTATAGCTGTACATGGGCGGACTTCAACTTGCTGTGCCTTTTTAGGAGTTTCCAAGTTTTTCTTACTGAACGAGACTGACGGGCTCTGCGGACCACTTTTGGGCGCAGAGTCATGCAAATTTCGGGCCCTGCGCAAAGGCACTCATGTCGGCCAGGTCCACTTGAA